TTTTTTTTTTTTTTTTTTTTTTCTTCCTATCTCTGGAGAAGCTGCCATCACAATACAATCCCATTCAAAGTTTACCTGTGGAACATCTTACAGCAATAACAGTAATATTCTTAAAGTACCTTTGTGCACTCATTGGTTTGAGCACAGAGGACAGCAACCGTCCATCTATGGCTGTGACCTGGGTGACGTAGAGCGCCTGGCACCCGTCACCGCCCGCTTCCTCCACGCTCTTCCACAGGCCTGTGTTGCTGGCACAGTCACACAGAGAGCCGGGGAGGTGGCAGCACCCGCCGGTCGTCATTGTTACAGGGTCCATTCGCTGGCAGCACGGATGGACTGGAGGGTGTGAAGGGTTGGAGGTGAGGGGAGGCTGGGGGAGTGCCAGGCACAAACTGCTCCTGTTTTTCTCCAGTCGCTCTGCAGAGAAACAGACACACACAGACAATCCATTATAGTTTTTAAAAAATGTCTGTGGTGGAGAGATAGCAAGTAATTTTACTCCAACTTAATATACTAGAGAAACCCAGTTTTACTCTGCAAATGCTCAAACGAAATAAATGGATCAAGGAGACAAGTTTGAGTGATGTTTTAAGTAAGTTTTTTTGTGTGCTACAGTGTGCACTTGTCCATTAATACTTTAGTGTCCAGATTAGGCTCGTCGGAGGGAAGTTCTGGGTTTGGAAAAGGAACTTATGGAAATCAGCTACAGTACAATGCCTGCACTATCATGATGACTCATTTTATGTTTGCTATATTATGCTTACAGTCCATCTGTTTTTATTGACCTTCAAGTTCATCACTAGCAAACAACATGGTATTACAGTTTTGCAATAACCCAACTCACCACTTCCCTCTTAATGTTTCTAGCACTGTCAAGGAAGTCGATAACTGGGTTACTAACCAGATAACTGATCAAACAGACACTGACGTATAGCATTTTATATAAATGTGATAGTAGACCAGAGTTTGTTTGTCATTTGGCTCACTGCAGTACTGTGACAGAGTTACTTAAATGTCTGTAGTCTGTTTCACAAATGATTAATTTCCTTCCACGTGGGAACGGCTAAAATTATCCAGAAAAGACGTTCCGTCTTTTAGAAGAAAGCTGTCCGTTTGGAGGTGGGCCAGTTTGCCCAAAAGCAGCTGCTAATCCATTATAAAACCAAGTGTGAGGTCAGTGACAGTAAGTGTGATGTGCAGCAGCCTGATAAACAGCTGTCTTAACCCAGATAACCCTTAACAACATTTTTTTCTTGCTGTCTCAAAAATGTATCCTGTTCTGTACAAATGAATTAGAACACAATAAGCAAAATTTAAATACACTGATTACAACCAATAAAATAAGAAACAATAATTTCAAAGTAGCATGTCTGATATACAGTGGGGCAAAAAAGTATTTAGTCAGCCACCGATTGTGCAAGTTCCCCCACTTAAAATGATGACAGAGGTCAGTAATTTGCACCAGAGGTACACT